TCTGTGTGTATATGTGTGTGTCCGTCTCTGTGTGTGTGTATGTGTGTGTCCGTCTCTGTGTGTGTGTATGTGTGTGTCCGTCTCTGTGTGTGTGTATCTGTGTGTGTGTATATGTGTGTGTATCTGTCTGTGTGATATGTGTGTGTATCTGTCTGTGTGTATATGTGTGTGTGTATATCTGTCTGTGTGTCTATGTGTGTGTGTATCTGTCTGTGTATGTGTGTGTCCGTCTCTGTGTGTGTGTATCTGTGTATCTGTGTGTGTATCTGTCTGTGTGTGTATTTGTCTGTGTATGTGTGTGTCCGTCTCTGTGTGTCTCTGTGTGTATCTGTGTGTGTGTATCTGTCTGTGTGTATGGGCGTGGGTCGGTACGTGTTCTACCCTGTCTCCTGACGGTGGTGGAAAGACACACCCTGCCCCGTCCCTCACAGAGCGCCGTGTCCTTGTGGTCACTTTGTCCTCCATGTAAAAGCAAACCCCACTCACTGCTGTTGAGTCGACCAGCCCCTCAGCGCAGGGCAACGCTGCCCGTGTGGGTCTCCCAGACTGGATCGCCAGCTGTGGGAGTAGAAAGCTCATCTGTCTCCCGAGGAGCGGCTGGTGGTTTCAAACTGCTGGCCCTGTGGTTAGCGGCCCAGCGCGTCACCCAGCATGCCCCAGGGCCCCTTCCCCACGTCACTGCACAGCCGTTGTAGGTGCCAAGTCTCCAAACCGCGGCTGCGAGCTTTGGGGCGTGGGTCTTATCCCGCGTGAGACCCTCTCTGTGCAGTTACCTCCTGCTGCTTCTCCTTGCCACCATCCGTCCCAGCCCCAACAGCCCTGTGGGCACAGCGGCTGTGTGTAAGCCGTTGGGGGCATTTGACTGGGCCTCAGCTTTTGTGCTTTCACCGGGTCCCCGAGGTCCTGTTGCAGGAGTTTAGGGTCTCAGCGTATCGAAAGCTCCTGAGATGGACGTCACCAGGTGGTTTGCTGAAAGGCAGTTCGTGGCTGATGTTCAATGTGGGTTTTCCGCCTCCGGGCTGCTGACTGTCTAGCTCCATGTGTGGGCAGCGGTTTCCGACGGGGCCGGGCCTCTCGGACGGCAGTTCCTGATGTGGGGGGGTTCCTTCCCACCTCCTCCCAGACCATCAGCCGAGCGTTCATGAACGGGAGCTCCGTGGAGCATGTGATCGAGTTCGGCCTCGACTACCCGGAGGGCATGGCCGTCGACTGGATGGGCAAGAACCTGTACTGGGCGGACACTGGGACCAACCGCATTGAAGTGGCCCGGCTGGACGGGCAGTTCCGGCAGGTGCTGGTCTGGAGGGACCTGGACAACCCCAGGTCCCTGGCCTTGGATCCCACCCAAGGGTAAGGACCGTCTTGAACCAGTGGCCTCCCCGCCGGCCCCAAACTGTGGCGCCCAGGTCCAGGGTTGCCAGTCAGAGCTGGCCTTCAAGCAGGTCACTGGTTTCCTGGTGCATCTGGGAGCACACGGGTGGTCTCACTGGGGTCTCTGAGGCGGCAATGGCGGGATGAGACAGTTAGGAATCTTGTGACCCGCATGGGATGCAGGGACGTGAAGGGTGTGCACGTAATTGGAAGAATGACAACCGAAACTTGTCAGCTGCACAGAGGCCACCCGCCTTCCGTTCTGTAAAGGACGAGAGTGAGGCAGCCAGTGTGCTTATCTAGCCAGAGGAGGCAGACCGGACCATGCCCGAGGGACACATCTGCAGGGGTGGGCTGGCGGGGTCGGCCGCTGCTGCCCACTCGCTCCCTGAGGAGTCCAGGGCTGCCTGTACCTCCTGGCCGGCCTGCCAAGGATCGCCACCCCAGAGCCTGGGGTGCAGAGGTGCTCCCCGGTCCACATTGTGTGACTTGGTTTGTTGACTCAATGCCCTTGTCGCTGAAGCGAGTCTCTGCTGTATGAGCTGGTGCAGGGTCTCTCTGGCCTGCCCAGCCTCCCCATCTTGGCACACTTCTTTAGCCTGAACAACAGGGAGGGGCCACTTGCTTCACAAAGGATCGTCTACCCCTTGGGGGAAGCATTGAGCTGGTAACCACAAGGGTAAAGGAGGCTTTCTGCTGCAATCGAGGTTGACAGACAGTCTCAGAAACCCAGGA